GCAGGGGCCTTGGTGGCGGGCACGTCCCCAGTGGGGGTCGTCCAGGAGGCAGCTGATGGATGTTTCTCTCTCATTGATGTTTCTAGCTCTCTATCCCTCTCCCTTCCTCTCTATAAAAAATCAATAAAAAATATATATATATTTTAAAAAGAAACAGAATTTCCGGAGGATGCGGCCCAGAAATCAGGATTTTAAAAAGATTCCCAGTGATTCTAATGTGCAGCCAAGGTTGAGAACCACTGCCATAGAGGCTGTATAAACAAACCCCAGGCTTTGGCTTCAGACTCACTGGGTTCAGATCCTGCCTCGCTGCCTTACTTCTGCAAAGCCTCAGCTTCCTCCTCAGCAGAGTAGGAATAATTGCATTAAATAAGATAATTCATGCAAAGCCCTGAGCTAGAGAACCCAGGACACGGTAAGAGCCTCTTTCCTGATAGCTGCCTTTAAACTTGAACTCAAACCCTAACTTTGCCCTGGGCTCTGACCCAGTGTCAGATGGCTGCCTCCCTCTTGTGGCTGCTTGGGGTCCCCTCTGGAGTGGGAAAAGGGCCAGGGCCACCTGGCTTGAGCAGGGCCATGGGCTGTGTCTTCCAGGACCTACTGCGGGCCCACCTTGGTCTCCACGGGAACCGGAACACCATTTGGGATCTCTTCAACAGCCTTCAGCGGCGCAGTGGCTGGGTGGAGTCCCTCATCTGGGCACTGAGGGCCTGTGAGCTGGCTGCTCTTGCTGACGAGGTGGACCGCGTCTATCAGAGCAACCTGCCTCGTAAGCCCCGACCCTGGCCCTGCTCTTGGAGCCCGTGTGCTCCCCAGCCCTCCACTCTCCCTGTCCCCTCACTCCTGCACCTCCTCCCTTCCTCTGTCACCCTCCCTCCCATCACTCTGGGGCAGTAGACAAACCTCGGTTTAGGTCCCAGCTTAGCTACTTAGCTGTGTCCCTTTGGCCAGGTCTCTTAATTTTCTTTTTTTTTTCTCCTTTCTTTTTTATTTATTTATTTATTATTGCTTAAAGTATTACAAAGGGTATTACATATGTGTCCATTTTTTCCCCCCGCCCTAGACAGTCCCCTAGCTTCCCCTATCCCCCAGTGTCTTATGTCCATTGGTTATGCTTAAATGCATGCATACAAGTCCTTCGGTTGATCTCTTACCCCCCTACCTCCTGCCCCCCAACCCTCCCCGGCCTTCCCGCTGCAGTTTGACAGTCTGTTTGAGGCAGCTCTGCCTCTGTATCTATTATTGTTCAAAAGTTTATAATTTTCTTAACCTCAGTCTTCTCTGTAAAACAGGGCTAATGGCAACATGTACCGCATGGGCCTGTGGTGGACATCCTGGGAGGTCAGCATGTGGGGTGCTTAGGGGGGCTGGACACCTCCCTGTGCCAGCAAATGGAGCCTCCTCTCATTTTTGTGGCTGTGATGTTTGCCTCCCACCCCTGTTCTCACTTTCTCCCGGCTCCTCTCCCTCAGTTCACCTTCTCTCTCCCCACTCTTCTCTCTTTCCTTCCCTGTACTGTCTCCTTTTTCTCC